TCCTGGTCTCCCTGGTCTCCTGGTCTCTGGTCCTTGGTCCCCTGGTCCTGGTCTCCTGGTTCCTGGTCTCCTGGTCCTTGGTCTCCCTGGTCTGGTCTCCTGGTCTCTTGGTCCCCTGGTCTGGTCTCTGGTCTCTCTGGTCTCCTGGTCCGACTGGGTCTCCTGGTCTCCTGGTCCTTGGTCCCCTGGTCCTGGTCTCTGGTCTCCCTGGTCCTGGTCCTGGTCTCCTGGTCTCCTGGTCCTTGGTCCCCTGGTCCTGGTCTCCTGGTCTCTGGTCTCCTGGTCCCTGGTCTCTGGTCTCTGGTCTCTGGTCTCCTGGTCTCCTGGTCTCTGGTCTCTCTGGTCCTGGTCCCTGGTCCTGGTCTCTGGTCCTGGTCTCCTGGTCTCTGGTCCCCTGGTTCCTGGTCTCTGGTCCCTGGTCCTGGTCTCCTGGTCTCCTGGTCCTCCTGGTCTACTGGTCTCCTGGTCCCTGGTCTCTGGTCCCTGGTCCTGGTCTCCTGGTCCCTGGTCCCTGGTCTCTGGTCCCTGGTCCTGGTCTCCTGGTCTTGGTCCCTGGTCCTGGTCTCCTGGTCTCTCTGGTCTCTGGTCTCTGGTCTGGTCTCTGGTCTCTGGTCTCCTGGTCCTGGTCTCTGGTTCCCTGGTCTCCTGGTCTCTGGTCTCTGGTCTCCTGGTCCCTCCTGGTCCTGGTCTCCTGGTCTCTGGTCTCTGGTCCTGGTCCTGGTCTCTGGTCTCCTGGTCTGGTCTCCTGGTCCCTCCTCCTGGTCCCTGGTCCTCGGTCTCCTGGTCTCTGGTCCCTGGTGCTGGTCTCCTGGTCTCCTGGTCCCTGGTCCTGGTCTCCTGGTCCTTGGTCCCCTAGTCCTGGTCCCCTGGTCCTGGTCTCCTGGTCCCCTGGTCTCCTGGTCTCCTGGTCCTGGTCCTGGTCTCCTGGTCCTTGGTCCCCTGGTCCTGGTCTCCTGGTCTCCTGGTCCTTGGTCCCCTGGTCTGGTCTCCTGGTCTCTGGTCCCCTGGTCCTGGTCTCTGGTCTCCTGGTCTCCTGGTCCCATGGTGCTGGTCTCCTGGTCTCCTGGTCTCCTGGTCCCCTGGTGCTGGTCTCCTGGTCTCCTGGTCCCACTGGTCTCTGGTCTCTGGTCTCTGGTCTCTGGTCCTTGGTCCCTGGCCTGGTCTCCTGGTCTCTGGTCCCTGGTCCTGGTCTCCTGGTCCTGGTCTCCTGGTCCTGATCTCCTGGTCTCCTGGTCCCCTGGTCCTGGTCTCCTGGTCCTGGTCTCCTGGTCCCTGGTCCGGTGGGTCTCCTGGTCCTGGTCTCCTGGTCCTGGTCTCTGGTCTCTGGTCCTGGTCTCCTGGTCCTTGGTCTCCTGGTCCTGGTCTCCTGGTCTCTGGTCTCCTGGTCTCTGGTCTCCTGGTCCTGGTCTCATGGTCTCCTGGTCTCCTGGTCCCCTGGTCTCCTGGTCTCCTGGTCTCCTGGTCCCCTGGTCTCTGGTCTCCGGTCTCCTGGTCCCCTGGTCCTGGTCTCCTGGTCTCCTGGTCCTGGTCCTGGTCTCCTGGTCTCCTGGTCCCTGGTGCTGGTCTCCTGGTCTCCTGGTCTCCTGGTCCCTGGTCTGGTCTCCTGGTCTCCTGGTCCCCTGGTGCTGGTCTCCTGGTCTCCTGGTCCCTGGTCCTGGTCTCCTGGTCTCTGGTCTCTGGTCCCTGGTCTGGTCCTGGTCTTGGTCCCTGGTCCTTGGTCCCCTGGTCCCTTGGTCCCTGGTCCTGGTCTCCTGGTCTGGGTCCCTAGTCCTTGGTCCCTGGTCCTGGTCTCCTGGTCTCCTGGTCTCCTGGTCCTTGGTCCCCTGGTCCTGGTCTCCTGGTCTCCTGGTCCCCTGGTCCTGGTCTCCTGGTCCCTGGTCTCCTGGTCCTTGGTCCCTGGTCCTGGTCTCCTGGTCTCCTGGTCCTTGGTCCCCTGGTCTCCTGGTCTCCTGGTCTCCTGGTCCTTGGTCCCTGGTCCTGGTCTCCTGGTCTCCTGGTCTCCTGGTCCTTGGTCCCCCTGGTCCTGGTCTCCTGGTCTCCTGGTCTCCTGGTCCCATGGTGCTGGTCTCCTGGTCTCCTGGTCTCCTGGTCCCTGGTGCTGGTCTCCTGGTCTCCTGGTCCCTGGTCCTGGTCTCCTGGTCCTGGTCCCCTGGTCCTGGTCTCCTGGTCTCCTGGTCCTGGGTCCCTGGTCCTGGTCTCCTGGTCTCCTGGTCCCCTGGTCCTCTGGTCCTGGTCTCCTGGTCTCCTGGTCTCCTGGTCCCTGGTCCCTGGTCCTGGTCTCCTGGTCCTGGTCTCCTGGTCCCTGGTGGTCCTGGTCCTGGTCCCTGGTCCTGGTCTCCTGGTCCTGGTCTCCTGGTCCTGGTCCCTGGTCCTGGTCTCCTGGTCCCTGGTCTCCTGGTGCTGGTCTCCTGGTCCTGGTCTCCTGGTCTCTGGTCTCCTGGTCCCTGGTCCTCCTGGTCTCCTGGTCCCTGGTCCCTGGTCTCTGGTCTCCTGGTCCCTGGTCCCTGGTCCTGGTCTCCTGGTCCTTGGTCCCCTGGTCCTGGTCTCCTGGTCCTTGGTCCCCTGGTCCCTGGTCTGGTCTGGTCTCCTGGTCCCCTGGTGCTGGTCTCCTGGTCTCCTGGTCCCCTGGTGCTGGTCTCCTGGTCTCTGGTCCCCTCTGTCCTGGGTCTCCTGGTCTTGGTCCCTGGTCTGGTCTCCTGGTCCTTGGTCCCTGGTCTCCTGGTCTCCTGGTCCTTGGTCCCCTGGTTCCTGGTCTCCTGGTCCCCTGGTCCTGGTCTCCTGGTCCTGGTCCTGGTCTCCTGGTCCTTGGTCCCCTGGCCCTGGTCTCCTGGTCTCCTGGTCCTTGGTCCCCTGGTCCTGGTCTCCTGGTCTCCTGGTCTCCTGGTCCTTGGTCCCTGGTCCTGGTCTCCTGGTCTCCTGGTCTCTGGTCTCCTGGTCCCATGGTGCTGGTCTCCTGGTCTCCTGGTCTCCTGTGTCCCCTGGTGCTGGTCTCTGGTCTCCTGGTCCCTGCTCCTGGTCTCCTGGTCTGGTCTCCTGGTCCTTGGTCCCCTGGCCCTGGTCTCCTGGTCTCTGGTCTCCTGGTCCTGATCTCCTGGTCTCCTGGTCCCCTGGTCCTGGTCTCCTGGTCCTGGTGCTCCTGGTCTGGTCCCCTGGTCCCGGTCTCCTGGTCCCCTGGTCCTGGTCCCTGGTCCTGGTCCCCTGGCCTGGTCTCCTGGTGCTGGTCTCCTGGTGCTGGTCTCCTGGTCTCCTGGTCTCCTGGTCTCTGGTCCCCTGGTACTGGTCTCCTGGTCTCCTGGTCCCTGGTGCTGGTCTCCTGGTCTCCTGGTCCTGGTCTGATCTCTGGTCTCCTGGTCTCCTGGTCTCCTGGTCCCCTGGTGCTGGTCTCCTGGTCCTGGTCCCGGCCTGGTCTCCTGGTCTCCTGGTCTCCTGGTCCCCTGGTGCTGGTCTCCTGGTCTCCTGGTCCCCTGGTCCTGGTCTCCTGGTCCTTGGTCCCTGGTCCTTGGTCCCCGGCTGGTCCTGGTCTCCTGGTCTGGTCTCCTGGTCTCCTGGTCCCCTGGTGGGTCCCCTGGTCTCCTGGTCCCCTGGTCCTGGTCTCCTGGTCCTTGGTCCCCTGGTCTCCTGGTCCCTGGTCCCTGGTCCCTGGTCTCTGGTCCCTGGTCTTGGTCCCCTAGTCCTTGGTCCCCTGGTCCTGGTCTCCTGGTCTCCTGGTCTCCCTGGTCCTTGGTCCCCTGGTCCTGGTCTCCTGGGTCCCCTGGTCCTGGTCCCTGGTCCTGGTCCTTGGTCCCTGGTCCTGGTCTCCTGGTCCCCTGGTCTCTCCTGGTCCTGGTCCTGGTCTCCTGGTCCTGGTCCTGGTCTCCTGGTCCTGGTCCTGGTCTCCTGGTCCCCTGGTCCTGGTCTCCTGGTCTCCTGGTCCTGGTCTCTGGTCCCCTGGTCCTGGTCTCTGGTCCTGGTGCTGGTCCTGGTCCCCTGGTCTGGTCTCCTGGTCCTGGTGCTGGTCTGGTCCTGGTCTCTCCTGGTCCCCTGGTGCTGGTCTCCTGGTCTCCTGGTCCTGGTCTCCTGGTCCTGGTCCTGGTCTCCTGGTCCCCTGGTCCTGGTCTCCTGGTCCTGGTCTCCTGGTCCTGGTCTCCTGGTCCTGGTCTCCTGGTCTCCTGGTCCTGGTCTCCTGGTCCTGGTCTCCTGGTCCTGGTCCTGGTCCTGGTCTCCTGGTCCTGGTCTCCTGGTCCTGGTCCTGGTCTCCTGGTCCTGGTCCTGGTCTCCTGGTCCTGGTCCTGGTCCTGGTCCTGGTCTCCTGGTCCTGGTCTCCTGGTCCTGGTCCTGGTCCTGGTCTCCTGGTCTCCTGGTCCTGGTCCTGGTCTCCTGGTCCTGGTCTCCTGGTCTCCTGGTCTCCTGGTCCTGGTCCTGGTCCTGGTCCTGGTCTCCTGGTCCTGGTCCTGGTCCTGGTCTCCTGGTCTCCTGGTCCTGGTCCTGGTCTCCTGGTCCTGGTCCTGGTCCTGGTCCTGGTCTCCTGGTCCTGGTAAGTAAGTAAGTAAGTTTTTATTTATATACCGCCTTTTCACTGCAGATCTGAGTCTCAAAGCGGTTTACAATTGTTAATTTTGGGCATTTGTCTCTCACTCCACACAGAGATGGGAGCGGGGCCAGTACAGGAGGCACATGCCAGAACTATTGGACATGTTTTTAGTGGTAGGGGAAACCGGAGTACCCGGAGGAAACCTACGCAGACACGGGGAGAACATGCAAACTCCACTCAGAAAGGCCCTGGTCCGACCGGGATTCGAACCCAGGACCTTCTTGCTGAGAGGCGAGAGTGCTATCCACTCAGCCACCGTGCCGCCCAGTCCAGGCCTGGGCCTGGACTGGGTCCAAACCTCAGCCATGGTCCCATTTATGGACCAGTGTCTGTGTGTTTGAACGGTTTGATTTTCTGATCTGTGTTGGTGAATCAACAACTGTGAAAGTCTGAGAAACGACTGTTGTGATTTAGTGCAATTCACAAATAAATGGATTTTGTCAAAGGCCAGAACCTCAGGAGGACCCCAGAGCAGACCCCAGAGCAGACCCCAGAGCAGACCCCAGAGAAGTCCCTAGAGCAGACCCCAGAGCAGACCCCAGAGCAGACCCCAGAGCAGTCCCTAGAGCAGACCCCAGAGCAGACCCCAGAGCAGTCCCTAGAGCAGTCCCTAGAGCAGGCCCTAGAGCAGACCCCAGAGCAGACCCCAGAGCAGACCCCAGAGCAGGCCCTAGAGCAGACCCCAGAGCAGACCCCAGAGCCCTAGAGCAGACCCTCGAGCAGACCCCAGAGCAGACCCCAGTGTAGACCCCAGAGCAGGCTCTACAGCAGACCCCAGAGCAGACCCCAGAGCAGACCCTCGAGCAGACCCCAGAGCAGGCCCTAGAGCAGACCCCAGAGCAGACCCCAGAGCCCAAGGGCAGACCCCAGAGCAGACCCCAGAGCAGACCCTAGAGCAGGCCCCAGAGCAGGCCCTAGAGCAGACCCCAGAGCAGACCCCAGAGCAGACCCCAGTGTAGACCCCAGAGCAGGCTCTACAGCAGACCCCAGAGCAGACCCCAGAGCAGGCCCTAGAGCAGACCCCAGAGCAGACCCCAGAGCAGGCTCTACAGCAGACCCCAGCGCAGGCCCTAGAGCAGACCCCAGAGCAGACCCCAGAGCAGACCCCAGAGCAGACCCCAGAGCAGACCCCAGAGCAGACCCTAGAGCAGACCCCAGAGCAGGCCCTAGAGCAGACCCCAGAGCAGACCCCAGAGCAGACCCCAGTGTAGACCCCAGAGCAGGCTCTACAGCAGACCCCAGAGCAGGCCCTAGAGCAGACCCCAGAGCAGACCCCAGAGCAGGCTCTACAGCAGACCCCAGCGCAGGCCCTAGAGCAGACCCCAGAGCAGACCCCAGAGCAGACCCCAGAGCAGACCCCAGAGCAGACCCCAGCGGGACGTCCCGCCAGCTTCGCTCTCTGCAAACAGGAGCAGTGTGTTTGTCTGAGAGACAGCTCCACAAAGCTCTTGGACCGAAGACCCGCAGCTTGGAGCCAAATGGTCCCAGTGTTGTCCCCAAACAAACCCTCAGAGGAGTCACTGACACAGCTTCAAGAGTCTGGGACGTCCCAGAACCACCGGTGTTGGATCAGACTGAGGTCTTTAGAATCAGAATCAGAATCCTTTTTATTGCCACGTAAGTAACAGGAAGTCACAGACTTGGAAATTGCTTTGGCTCAGTGCAACAGTCAGAGAGAGGTAAAGGGTAGAGAGGGCATAATAACAAATAAGAAATAAAATAAGAAAAACTTAAAAAATCAGCAACAAAAAATCTAAAATAGAATTATTACAATTATTATATACAATAAACAAGGAGGTGCACACCATGTGAGGTGACACACCATGTAAGGTGACACACCATGTGAGGTGACAGCAGTACAGTGACTTTATACAGAGCAGTAGGGGCTTGGAGATGGTTCAAGAGTCCAACAGCCTCCTGCCTGAGGGGAGGAGGTGATGGAGGAGGTGATGGAGGAGGTGATGGAGGAGGTGCTGGAGGAGGTGATGGAGGAGGTGATGGAGGAGGTGATGGAGGAAGTGCTGGAGGAGGTGATGGAGGAGGTGATGGAGGAGGTGATGGAGGAGGTGATGGAGGAGGTGATGGAGGAGGTGATGAAGGAGGTGATGGAGGAGGTGATGGAGGAGGTGATGGAGGAGGTGATGGAGGAGGTGATGGAGGAGGTGATGGAGGAGGTGATGGAGGAGGTGATGGAGGAAGTGCTGGAGGAGGTGATGGAGGAGGTGATGAAGGAGGTGATGGAGGAGGTGATGGAGGAGGTGATGGAGGAGGTGATGAAGGAGGTGATGGAGGAAGTGCTGGAGGAGGTGATGAAGGAGGTGATGGAGGAAGTGCTCTGGAGGAGGTGATGGAGGAGGTGATGAAAGAGGTGATGGAGGAAGTGCTGGAGGAGGTGATGGAGGAGGTGATGAAGGAGGTGATGGAGGAGGTGATGGAGGAAGTGCTGGAGGAGGTGATGGAGGAGGTGATGGAGGAGGTGATGGAGGAGGTGATGGAGGAGGTGATGGAGGAGGTGATGGAGGAAGTGCTGGAGGAGGTGATGGAGGAGGTGATGGAGGAAGTGATGGAGGAAGTGCTGGAGGAGGTGATGGAGGAGGTGATAAAGGAGGGGCTGGAGGAGGTGATGGAGGAGGTGATGGAGGAGGTGATGGAGGAGGTGATGGAGGATGTGATGGAGGAGGTGATGGAGGAGGTGATGGAGGAAGTGCTGGAGGAGGTGGTGGAGGAGGTGATGAAGGGAGGTGGTGAGTAGGTGATGGAGGAAGTGCTGGAGGAGGTGATGGAGGAGGTGATGGAGGAGGTGATGGAGGAGGTGATGGAGGAAGTGCTGGAGGAGGTGGTGGAGGAGGTGATGGAGGAGGTGATGAAGGAGGTGATGGAGGAGGTGATGGAGGAAATGCTGGAGGAGGTGATGGAGGAGGTGATGGAGGAGGTGATGGAGGAGGTGATGGAGGAAGTGCTGGAGGAGGTGATGGAGGAGGTGATGAGGAAGTGATGGAGGAGGTGATGGAGGAGGTGATGGAGGAGGTGATGGAGGAGGTGATGGAGGAGGTGCTGGAGGAGGTGATGGAGGAGGTGATGGAGGAAGTGCTGGAGGAGGTGATGGAGGAGGTGATGGAGGAGGTGATGGAGGAGGTGATGGAGGAGGTGATGGAGGAAGTGCTGGAGGAGGTGATGGAGGAGGTGATGAAGGAGGTGATGGAGGAGGTGATGGAGGAGGTGATGGAGGAGGTGATGAAGGAGGTGATGGAGGAGGTGATGGAGGAGGTGATGGAGGAAGTGCTGGAGGAGGTGATGGAGGAGGTGATGAAGGAGGTGATGGAGGAGGTGATGGAGGAGGTGATGGAGGAGGTGATGAAGGAGGTGATGGAGGAAGTGCTGGAGGAGGTGATGAAGGAGGTGATGGAGGAAGTGCTCTGGAGGAGGTGATGGAGGAAGTGCTCTGGAGGAGGTGATGGAGGAGGTGATGAAAGAGGTGATGGAGGAAGTGCTGGAGGAGGTGATGGAGGAGGTGATGAAGGAGGTGATGGAGGAGGTGATGGAGGAAGTGCTGGAGGAGGTGATGGAGGAGGTGATGGAGGAGGTGATGGAGGAGGTGATGGAGGAGGTGATGGAGGAAGTGCTGGAGGAGGTGATGGAGGAGGTGATGGAGGAAGTGATGGAGGAAGTGCTGGAGGAGGTGATGGAGGAGGTGATAAAGGAGGGGCTGGAGGAGGTGATGGAGGAGGTGATGGAGGAGGTGATGGAGGATGTGATGGAGGAGGTGATGGAGGAGGTGATGGAGGAAGTGCTGGAGGAGGTGGTGGAGGAGGTGATGAAGGAGGTGGTGAGTAGGTGATGGAGGAAGTGCTGGAGGAGGTGATGGAGGAGGTGATGGAGGAGGTGATGGAGGAGGGGATGGAGGAGGGGCTGGAGGAGGTGATGGAGGAGGTGATGGAGGAGGTGATGGAGGATGTGATGGAGGAGGTGATGGAGGAGGTGATGGAGGAAGTGCTGGAGGAAGTGATGGAGGAGGTGATGGAGGAGGTGATGGAGGAGGTGATGGAGGAGGTGATGGAGGAAGTGCTGGAGGAGGTGATGGAGGAGGTGATGAGGAAGTGATGGAGGAAGTGATGGAGGAGGTGATGGAGGAGGGGATGGAGGAGGGGCTGGAGGAGGTGATGGAGGAGGTGATGGAGGAGGTGATGGAGGATGTGATGGAGGAGGTGATGGAGGAGGTGATGGAGGAAGTGCTGGAGGAAGTGATGGAGGAGGTGAAGGAGGAGGTGATGGAGGAAGTGCTGGAGGAGGTGGTGGAGGAGGTGATGGAGGAGGTGATGGAGGAGGTGGTGGAGTAGGTGATGGAGGATGTGATGGAGGAGGTGATGGAGGAAGTGCTGGAGGAAGTGATGGAGGAGGTGAAGGAGGAGGTGATGGAGGAAGTGCTGGAGGAGGTGGTGGAGGAGGTGATGGAGGAGGTGATGGAGGAGGTGATGGAGGAGGTGGTGGAGTAGGTGATGGAGGAGGTGGTGGAGTAGGTGATGGAGGAGGTGATGGAGGAGGTGATGGAGGAGGTGATGGAGGATGTGATGGAGGAGGTGATGGAGGAGGTGATGGAGGAAGTGCTGGAGGAGGTGATGGAGGAGGTGATGGAGGAGGTGATGGAGGAGGGGCTGGAGGAGGTGATGGAGGAGGTGATGGAGGAGGTGATGGAGGATGTGATGGAGGAGGTGATGGAGGAAGTGCTGGAGGAGGTGATGGAGGAGGTGAAGGAGGAGGTGATGGAGGAAGTGCTGGAGGAGGTGGTGGAGGAGGTGATGGAGGAGGTGGTGGAGGAGGTGATAGAGGAGGTGGTGGAGGAGGTGATGGAGGAAGTGCTGTAGGAGGTGATGAAGGAGGTGATGGAGGAGGTGGTGGAGTAGGTGATGGAGGAAGTGCCGGAGGAGGTGCTGGAGGAGGTGATGAAGGAGGGGCTGGAGGAGGTGATGGAGGAGGTGATGGAGGAGGTGATGGAGGAGGTGATGAAGGAGGTGATGGAGGAGGTGATGGAGGAGGCGAGGAAGGAGGTGATAGAGGAGGTACTGGAGGAGGTGATGGAGGAGGTGATGGAGGAGGTGATGGAGGAAGTGCTGGAGGAGGTGCTGGAGGAGGTGTTGGAGGAGGTGATGGAGGAGATGATGGAGGAGGTGGTGGAGGAGGTGATAGAGGAGGTAATGAAGGAGGTGATAGAGGAGGGGCTTGAGGAGGTGATGGAGGAGGTGATGGAGGAGATGATAGAGGAGGTGATGGAGGAGGTGATGGAGGAGGTGATGGAGGAGGTGATGGAGGAGGTGATGGAGGAGGTGATGGAGGGAGGAGTGCTGGAGGAGGTGATGGAGGAGGTGAGGAGGAGGAGGTGATGGAGGAAGTGCTGGAGGAGGTGTTGGAGGAGGTGATGGAGGAGGTGATGGAGGAGGTGGTGGAGGAGGTGATAGAGGAGGTGATGAAGGAGGTGATGGAGGAGGTGCTGTAGGAGGTGATGGAGGAGGTGGTGGAGTAGGTGATGGAAGAAGTGCCGGAGGAGGTGCTGGAGGAGGTGATGAAGGAGGGGCTGGAGGAGGTGATGGAGGAGGTGATGGAGGAGGTGATGGAGGAGGTGATGAAGGAGGTGATGGAGGAGGTGATGGAGGAGGCGAGGAAGGAGGTGATAGAGGAGGTACTGGAGGAGGTGATGGAGGAGGTGATGGAGGAGGTGATGGAGGAAGTGCTGGAGGAGGTGATGGAGGAAGTGCTGCGGAGGAGGTGTGGAGGAGGTGATGGAGGAGGTGTGGGAGTGTGGAGGAGGTGTTGGAGGAGGTGATGGAGGAGGTGATGGAGGAGGTGGTGGAGGAGGTGATAGAGGAGGTAATGAAGGAGGTGATAGAGGAGGGGCTTGAGGAGGTGATGGAGGAGGTGATGGAGGAGATGATAGAGGAGGTGATGGAGGAGGTGATGGAGGAGGTGATGGAGGAGGTGATGAGGAGGTGATGGAGGAGGTGATGGAGGAGGTGATAGAGGAGGTGATAGAGGAGGTGATGGAGGAGGTGATGGAGGAGGTGATGCGGAATCGGGACGAAACCGGAAGTAACAATCCTACTTTTGAATTAGTTTTAGACTAATAAGTCCTTAAGGTGGTCTGAGTAAGATGGTTAAGGTAAGGGTTAAGGTGGTCTGTGTGTTTGTGTGTGTTTGTGTGTGTGTGTGTGTGTGTGTGTGTTTGAAGGCCTGTGTGTTTTTGTGTGTGTTTGTGTGTGTTTGTGTGTGTGTGTGTGTGTGTGTCTGAAGGCCTGTGTGTTTTTGTGTGTTTTTGTGTGTGTTTGTGTGTGTGTGTGTGTGTGTGTGTGTTTGAAGGCCTGTGTGTGTTTCCTTGTGCAGGACAAGTGCTCACTTATAAAGTTTATGGATTGTAAACTGTTATAAAAGTGTGTGTCTGTGATTGACAGGAGCAGAGAGAGTTTGGAGCTGACGAGAACAGACTCTAACGAGATAAAACGCTCATAAAAGTCCATTTCTCTGCTGAACTGTGGCCCCCGCTGTCGCCCGCCTCTCTGTGTGTGTGTGTGTGTGTGTGTGTGTGTGTGTGTGTGTGTCCCGCTGTCCCCTGCCTGTGTGTTACACTCCCCGTCCTCCAGGTCAGACCCCTCCCATGATGCATTGCGGTGCTGTGGTTGCCAGGCTCCGCTGCAAAAACATGCATCATTTTTCAGAGCAGGACGTCCACAAAGGCACAGCTTTGTGCACGGCGAGGGGTCCGGCCCGCAATATTATATACATATGGTGGGGGGGGGGCAGGAGGAGGCCAGGGGGGAGGCCAGAGGGGAGGTCTAAGGGGAGGTCTGAGGGGGGGGGGAGGCCAGGGGGAGGTCCACTCAGCATGAGGCTGAGTTTAGACACAGAATATAAAGTATTCAGAATAGTTGCAGAGGATCTGAACCCGGCAGTTTCTGTGGCTTCACCAGGGCAGGTGTGGCTTCACCAGGGCAGGTGTGGCTTCACCAGGGCAGGTGTGGCCTCACCAGGGCAGGTGTGGCTTCACCAGGGTAGGTGTGGCCTCACCAGGGCAGGTGTGGCCTCACCAGGGTAGGTGTGGCCTCACCAGGGCAGGTGTGGCTTCACCAGGGTAGGTGTGGCTTCACCAGGGCAGGTGTGGCCTCACCAGGGTAGGTGTGGCCTCACCAGGGTAGGTGTGGCCTCACCAGGGCAGGTGTGGCTTCACCAGGGTAGGTGTGGCTTCACCAGGGCAGGTGTGGCCTCACCAGGGCAGGTGTGGCTTCACCAGGGTAGGTGTGGCCTCACCAGGGCAGGTGTGGCCTCACCAGGGTAGGTGTGGCCTCACCAGGGCAGGTGTGGCTTCACCAGGGTAGGTGTGGCTTCACCAGGGCAGGTGTGGCCTCACCAGGGCAGGTGTGGCCTCACCAGGGTAGGTGTGGCCTCACCAGGGCAGGTGTGGCTTCACCAGGGTAGGTGTGGCTTCACCAGGGCAGGTGTGGCCTCACCAGGGCAGGTGTGGCTTCACCAGGGCAGGTGTGGCTTCACCAGGGCAGGTGTGGCCTCACCAGGGCAGGTGTGGCTTCACCAGGGCAGGTGTGGCTTCACCAGGGCAGGTGTGGCTTCACCAGGGCAGGTGTGGCTTCACCAGGGTAGGTGTGGCTTCAGACCCTGGTCTGAGGCTCTGGTCTGAGACCCTGGTCTGAGGCTCTGGTCTGAGACCCTGGTCTGAGGCTCTGGTCTGAGGCTCTGGTCTGAGGCTCTGGTCTGAGGTCTCTGGTCTGAGACTCTGGTCTGAGGCTCTGGTCTGAGGCTCTGGTCTGAGGTCTCTGGTCTGAGACTCTGGTCTGAGGCTCTGGTCTGAGGCTCTGGTCTGAGGCTCTGGTCTGAGGCTCTGGTCTGAGGCTCTGGTCTGAGGCTCTGGTCTGAGGCTCTGGTCTGAGGCTCTGGTCTGAGGTCTCTGGTCTGAGGCTCTCTGGTCTGAGGCTCTGGTCTGAGGCTCTGGTCTGAGGCTCTGGTCTGAGGCTCTGGTCTGAGGCTCTGGTCTGAGGCTCTGGTCTGAGGCTCTGGTCTGAGGCTCTGGTCTGAGGCTCTGGTCTGAGGCTCTGGTCTGAGGCTCTGGTCTGAGGCTCTGGTCTGAGGCTCTGGTCTGAGCTCTGGTCTGAGGCTCTGGTCTGAGGCTCTGGTCTGAGGCTCTGGTCTGAGGCTCTGGTCTGAGGCTCTGGTCTGAGGCTCTGGTCTGAGACTCTGGTCTGAGGCTCTGGTCTGAGGCTCTGGTCTGAGGCTCTGGTCTGAGGCTCTGGTCTGAGGCTCTGGTGAGGCTCTGGTCTGAGGCTCTGGTCTGAGGCTCTGGTCTGAGGCTCTGGTCTGAGGCTCTGGTCTGAGGCTCTGGTCTGAGGCTCTGGTCTGAGGCTCTGGTCTGAGGCTCTGGTCTGAGGCTCTGGTCTGAGGCTCTGGTCTGAGGCTCTGGTCTGAGGCTCTGGTCTGAGGCTCTGGTCTGAGGCTCTGGTCTGAGACTCTGGTCTGAGGCTCTGGTCTGAGGCTCTGGTCTGAGACTCTGGTCTGAGGTTCAGGGAGAGGCCCGGCTGCTCACAGCGACACAGCAGGAGGAGGGCACACACAGAGGCAGCTGTGGCCACACACACACACACATACACACATACACACACACACGCACACACACACACACACACATACACACACACACATACACACACACACACACACACACACACACACACACACACACACAGACACAGACGCACGCGCGCACACACATACACACACACACACACACAGCCGCTTTATGCTCACGTCAAATCAATCAAAACAAAGCGCACAATAAGGAGCTAAATGCTGCAGAAGTTTGTGTGGCCGGAAACACTATTATTAATGTGTTCATATGACACGCAGCATTAGCATTAGCATATCAATCATTAGCATATCAATCATTAGCATATCAATCATTAGCATATCAATCATTAGCATATCAATCATTAGCATATCGATCATTAGCATATCAATCATTAGCATATCAATCATTACAATGGACACGAGACGAGCCTCAGGGAACTCTGCTATTCAGGCTTCGCCATCGCCAACTTTTACTCTGCTCTGACACAAAGACACAGAGGGATACACACATCATACACACACACACATTATACACACACATCATACACACACATCATACACACACATCATACACACACATCATACACATACATTATACACACACACACGCACACACATCATACACACACGCACACACACACACGCGCACACACACACACGCACACACACACACACACACACACACACACACACACACACACACACACACACACACACACACACACACACACACACACACACACACACACACACACACACACACACACACACATCAGGACAGTCATAGTCGGTAGTATTGTTGCGGTATTGACACTGTTAATTGTACATAAAATATCCTGCATTGAACGTGTTGCACATTTCTGTCTGATCTTACCATGAGTGTGCGTAACCATGAGTGTGCGTAACCATGAGTGTACGTAACCATGACGTCACTGACGTCAAAGATAAATATCTGTGTGTGTGCTTGCGTGCGTGTGTGTATGTGTGTGCGCACGTGCGTCTGTGTGTGTGTGTGTGCGTGCGTGCGTGTGTGCGCGTGCGTGTGTATGTGTGTGTGCGTGCGCGCGTGTGTGTATGTGTGTGCGCGCGTGCGTCTGTGTCTGTGTGTGTGTGTGTCAGAGAGGGCCCTGCACGAGCCCGTGTCTGCGGCTGCGGTCTTTGTCCCGGTCGGACGGTGACAGGCCGTGGTCAGCTGTCCTGTTCATTGCCGTCACATTGACTGCTGCTGTGAATGCGCGCCTCCTCCTCACGCAGCGCGCGCGCCCTGTGCACAATAAGTTCATATCCCGCGCACATTCAGCACAAACAAAGATCATAGCACGACGTCTTTGAGGCGCAGGAGTCAAAGCCACTGCCCCACGGCCCCGCGCAGGGGTCACAGCGGCGTGTTCCCGCGTGGAGGGGGGCCGCGGGCACGAGCACATATGCACGAGCACGCACGGACGAGGAGTGAAGCTCAGAGAGAAGTTGGTGAGAGACGAGCAGAGTTAAAGCCGATGCACCTCACTTTGAAAACACAGAAAATAATACTTCACAAACTGTAAGTTTCCGTTAAAGCATTTCACATTCACATGTTTGGATCTGCTTTTCCTCTCTGGTCTCTCTCTGGTCTCTCTCTGGTCTCTCTCTGGTCTCTCTCTGGTCTCTCTCTGGTCTCTCTCTGGTCTCTATCTCTGGTCTCTATCTCTGGTCTCTATCTCTGGTCTCTCTCTGGTCTCTCTCTGGTCTCTCTCTGGTCTCTCTCTCTCTCTGGTCTCTCTCTGCATCTCTCTCTCCGGCCTCTTTCTGGCCTCTCTCTGGTCTCTCTCTGGTTTCACATGTTTGGATCTCTTTTCCTCTCTGGTCTCTCTCTGGTCTCTCTCTGGTCTCTCTCTCTGGTTTCTCTCTGGTCTCTCTCCGGCCTCTCTCTGGTCTCTCTCTGGTCTCTCTCTGG